GAAGCCACTTGGCTGGTCAACACCAGGGGATCTGCCAACCACCCTGGTCCTGCCCAAACGAAACCCCTGCACACTGTGGGAGGAGAGAAGGTCCCCATCCTACACACGGGGAAGTGACCGGGGAAGTCAGTGTGGGTTTCTCCTCCCATGGGGAAAGGCAAACCCATCATGGGATTGTCTTTGCTCAGGGACCAGAGTGTACCTGGCAAGAGAGACAGGAAAAGGGAAAAGCTGGCCCTAAAAATGCATTAAGTAAGGCCTTGATGCACCGAGCTTGTTAAGAGCTTCAGAGTCATTGCACATACACAGTGTTGCCACCACCTACCATCAGTCCCATTTAAACCTGCAAGCTCTTTGCGAAAAATACAGGACTCCAGCAGTTGTTTTGGGTAAAAAACTTAAGAACAACAGAAATCTTGCAACCAGGAAGGGTCTGGAGGCCCTGCCTCAGTCCAACAGCTCAGACTTGTTTCAAAGGTTTGTTTTAAGACCAAAAAAACACACCCCCCTTCAGTGCACAGTGTGGGGGTTATGGAGCCAGCAGCCAGTGACCACATTGAGGTGATGGATTCATCATCCTCTTGCCAATTAACTGCAGTCTCTCTTACCAGAGGCTCCCTTGTGCTTCCCATCCATGTTCCTCAGCTTCTGTGGGAGGACCCCCAGTACCCCAAAACCCTTGTCTGTTTTTGTCTGTGCAGCCCTGGTTTTGCTGAGACAGGTCCTTAGGGCTCCCTGGGACTCGCCAGGTTTCATTTCTCCAACTGCCGCGGCTCATTACACCCCCCAGGTCCCCTTCCCCACCATCTCAAGGATTTCACCTGAAGCTTGAGGAGGGAAGCTCTAAAATCCTGTGGGCAACCGAAGTGCCAGCCCTTGGTTCGGCTGCCTTGTGTGGGGAACTAAGTGGCACAAAACCTGAGTTCTGTTGAGCAGAGACCTTCACTCCTGTGTGTCAGCTGTAGCCTCTTCCAAGTGTTTTGACAGAGACTTTTCAAATGTGTCTTGGACATAAAAGAGAAATGGGTTTGGCATGGCCAGGTGTGGCCTTGCAGTCCTCTCTGCTCCCCTCCCTCTCCCCTGGTAAAGGCAAATCAAGCCCCTCCTGGCACAGCAGGTTCACCTGCATCCTCGGGCTCTGCAGGACTCGCTACTGTTTGTTTTCTCTCAGTAATTGTGTCAGCAGCTTTAAGCAGAAGTTGTTTTCCCACAAGTGCTGCTTAAATTACAGCAGCACAGCACAAACCCAAAGCAGGGAGTGCTGCCTCTCGGCTGGAACCCCCGTGGGCTTCCTCCAGCTGTCCCTTTGCAGCCCCTGGGACACCCGGGATGGTCAGGTGGGAACTCAGCGTGTGCTCAGGTTCTGTCTCAGAGGCCGGGCTGGGGAAGCACATCCAGCACTGGGTGTGCAGCCAGATTGAAACAAAGAATTAAAAAACCCAACAGACTGTCACCATTTGTCCTTCCTGCAACTGCCCTCACGTGCAGTTCAAACCCTGGCTGTGAGGACCCTTCCTGCCCCTCTGTGCCCCAGGTCAGTGTGCTGACGTGTCCCACCGAGCTGGGAACGTGCCCTGCTGCAGTCCTGGGCACGGGGGGTTGTTCAAAACCTGCCTCTAATGGAATTTGGCATTCTAATCTGACCTGACCTGGGTGGTGTGTGGAACTCCCATAAATTGCCCTTAAACACCAAGCCCAGCCCCTCTGGTCCCAGTGCAGCCCAGAGGACAGACCAGTTCCTGTCTCTGGGGTTATTTTTGTGTCAATCAGTGGCACTGGGCTGAGCCACCACAGGGCCTGGGGAGGTCGGGGCCCTGCTGTCCCTCAGCAAACCAAGCCAGTCCCTGGGTTGTGTTCATGTCACACGTCCTGTCCCCTCCCGCTGGAGCTGTGACAATGCTGCTACAGGAGCCACATGTCAGTAGTGAATGTAAATGGTCTGTAACATGGTGAACATGGACACGTTTTCTTTTCAAATGTGATGTAAACTTTGTACAGTACAAATTTTTTTTTATATTTTCTATGAACTGTCTTCCAGAATTGCTATTAAATTAATTACAAATTGTTAGGATTAACAACAGTTTCTGTATTAGTTTATGCAACCAGCAAAAAAAAAAAAAGGAAAAAAACCCTAAGAGTGCACTCTATGCTACTGGAATTCTGGATATGTAGGAATCTTTTCAGTGAATAAATCTTTGCTCTGGATAAAGTGAGCGTTACTGAGTCGTGGTTTGACCTTTCCCTGCCCATCTCCTTGCAGCTGAAGTAGAAGAGGAGCAGATTCTCACAGTAACACCCCCCCCCAGCTCCTTCACCCTCTGCTCCTGCCCCGCAGCAGAAGGGGATTCCTGGCATTTCCTGTTCCCTTTGCCACTCCAGAGAGCCCAAGAGACACCAGGAGACACTGAGGCCACTTTAAGAGATGTTGAGTCCATTTGCAATTATCAAAGTTTTCCCTCCCAGATATGATGAGCCACATTATTAAATGGTTAATGAAGCTGCCATTTAGTTTTCCTGAAGCACTGAACTATTTGAGCAGCTGCCCCACACACACTGGAGGCCATTCTGGGACTCCCAGCACCTTCCCCCTCCTTTGCACAAGGTTCTGTCCCCACCTTCCTTCCTGCAGAGTGGGGCAAAGCTCTGCCAGCCAGACCCTGCTCTGCACTGGAAGTGCCATTGCTGAGTGTTAATTAATCCCGGGAATGTTCTGCTGCTGCCAAAGGCTTTGTGTGGGAATAACGATGGCATTGTGCTGTCCTGCCAGGAATGGCCTGAGACATCATAAAAGCACTACTTTACATGTCATCCATCTTATCTACATCTCTCATATGCAAGCAATAAAAAGCTTAAGATAAATTAAACTTTGTTGTCTTTCATAAAGAATAATTTAGTTCTCAATTAAAATTGAAGGGCAGAGGTGTTGGATTTAAAAAACCAAAATACACAAACTCCCATCCCCAAGCACGAAGGCTCTGCCCCAGCTGTGACCCGGAGCAGTTTGATGTTTACTGGCCCATGGCTGTACCCCAGAACTGCCCTGGGTTATCCAAGGCACTCACAGAGCGAGGCCCCTCCACTGAGAGAGCCCCTGGAACCAGGAACACGAGCAGCCAACACCCACAGCCCAAGGGAGACCAACTGCACCAAAAGGGACCATCCAGCCTCTGCCAGCTGCACTCTAATGCTCGAGGGCATTTTAAACCTTCCAACCAGACCTGCTGGGTGCTTGACACACCAAACACCTCAGAAATAGGAGTTCACTCAAAGGAGGCACCAAATAACCCACAAAGCTCAGGCTTCAAACAAACTGACTGGAGTAGAATCCAGGAAAGGCAGACACAACACATCCCAGCCTCCTCCTCAGAGGTCAGCCTGCTCCTCTCACCCAAGGCAGCAGCTCCAGCCCTCTCCTCTCAGCCCAGCCCTGGCTCCCAGCAGGGTAACTGGGGCAGGGGAGACTCCCTCCCACCCAGAGCAGAACCCCTTTGCACATGGACAACATAACACAGCATTGCCAGGAAAAACACTAAAAAAAGAAGAAGCCTTTCACCTACCTGACCTTTTTCTGCCTCCCAGGTCCCACAGCTCACTGGCCTTGCACCTTCTCCCAGCACAGCCATTTTCTGCCAGGCTCTGTCCCACAGAACCTGTCCCACCTGCCCCTCATCAGCCCTCAGCTCTCCCTCATGAGCTTCACCTGCCCCTCATCAGCCCTCAGCTCTCCCTTATGAGCCTCACCTGTCCCTCATCAGCCCTCAGCTCTCCCTTATGAGCCTCACCTGTCCCTCATCAGCCCTCAGCTCTCCCTCATGAGCTTCACCTGCCCCTCATCAGCCCTCAGCTCTCCCTCATGAGCTTCACCTGCCCCTCATCAGCCCTCAGCTCTCCCTTATGAGCCTCACCTGTCCCTTATGAGCCCCACCTGTCCCTTTTCCCTCTGCCTGGCAGGGGCTGACCCCTCAGCCTGGTACAAACAGTGGGACTGTTTTTCCCTGAGCTTCTGACCCTCCAAATGAAAGTGCACTGTGTCCTGTTTGCACAAACAAGCCTCTATGAAGGGTAATGGTGATGTGCTGAAGTAAGAGATTTCTTTGAAAAGACACCTTAGATACCAGTCCTAGCACAGGAATTCCCCTATTTAGCCATGTGCATGGAAAATGGGCTGTGCAGTGATGCTCCCCCCAGACAGGTCTGGGTGCATTCACTCTCTCTAGTTTGGAACTCATCCCCTGTTTCCTGCTTTTGCTGGACTCCTATGAATGAATCCAGGGCTCACTTCCTTAAGGTAAAGTGCAATTACCCTATTCCATTTCCATCCCACCCCACAAACCTAAACCCAGAACACATCAATTCAAGTATGAAATGACACTGGAGTGTGTGCACTCAGTGCCCATCAGGGCTCCCTACCTGCCAGGAACCTCCTCTGTCCTTACTCTCTGTTGCTGTTCTCTGACACCTCCTGCTCTCTGCCATCATTGTCCATGTCCTCTCATCTGTGTTGTGTCCTGGATCCTATGGATAAGGCTGTCCTGAAGCACATGGGAAAACCACTGTACACACATGGCACTGCTGACTTTTGAGGCTCAACTCTGCCTTCATCAGATTCCAGCTCCTGGAGAAGAGGGATGGTAGGAAAATCTCACCTTAAGCTTTTTTACTATGATCAGATAGCCCTGGTAACCTTAGAGAAGGAAGCAGAAGCTCTGACATAAGTGCAAGGCCTAGAAAGAGCCCAAGCCCACACCCAAGGAAGGCAGTTTGCAGGCCAGTCTCACAGTCTCTGGTGTGAACTCCCACTTCCCTGGCAGTAACAAAAATGCAAAACTGACCATAGGCAGACTGTATAACCCTGGGGACAGGCCCTGTCCTCATGGAGAAGAGTTGGCTGGAGCCCAAACCAGCCTTAGCAGAACCTGAGAGCTGACTTAGCTACCTCTGCCTGTTCAGGCTGAAGCCAAGAGCAAGAAGAGGAACACTGATTCACACCAACTTGCTTGTCTCGGTATAAAGGCAACTTTTATTACAAACAAATCAAGTAAACCAGAGCATACTCAAATGTAAGAAAGTGCTTTGGAATTTTCAGAACCTTCCTGCCACAGGCTGTGTAACAACAACTCAGGTTCATGTACCTGAATCACACAAAGCACAATTCAACACTACTACCTGCTCAACAGATACATCTGAAGTAGATGCAGGTGTTTCCACCTGGGACCAGCACATCATTATCTCATTTGCAAATGTTGCTCCAGATCCAGCAAGGCCTGTGGCCAGACAACTCCCAGTAACACAACCATCCATTCACTTGCTTCCAAGTGAAGATAATATGCAAGTAAACCAATCTGATATAAATAAAGTCACAAAGATAAACGGTACATTTCAAAAAAAGGTTTCAGCTCTAGTTAACATAGTACAAAACTCTACATTTTCCTTTTATTTACAAAAAATACCAGATTTATACTAGCATAGACAATATTAAAAATAATTTGTATTTTCACTATTAAGATAACTATTAAAAGAGTGTCAGAATAAATAGCAACAAAAGTTAAATTTAGTGCTTTTCTTAATTAAGGCTGAGGTTTAAGAGTCAAATCCTACAATCCTATATATGTGCACTATTGAACATGTATATGAAAAAGGATTTGACTCCATGTTTTTTGAAAGTAACAACAAATGTGCAAGTATTGTCTAAAATAGAAGTGGATTTTTTCTTTAACTGGTGGGTTTTAAAGCTCTTTTGACTTCATGTGGGAATACAGCCCCAAATATATCTTCATGGTATCGCTTTTGGCTCTGCAAAAAGAAGAAGGGACACCCAAGAGATGAATTAAGTCCTGCCAGTATGTATCAGTTCAGTAGCTAAAAGGCCTTTTGCATGTGTAGGACTGTTTTTATGATCATAGACTTTTGTTACTGTCAGTGAAAGGGACCTCTCTGGATCCCAGGCACACGTGCTCCAGGATGAGTTCTGATAACAAGAGTGTCCTGAAAAGCAGCAGCCCCAGGCACTGTGTTCTCAGTGATGGGCCCTCTAAATTCCTAACCTCACTCTCCTCTCTTCGTGGAATCACAGAAAATGCTGAGTTGGAAGGGACCCATCAGGATCATCAGTCCCACCCCCGGCCCTGCACAGACACCCCAACAATCCCACCATGTGCCTGTTGGTACAACAAAGTCTCAAACTCCTGATGTTCCTGACCCACTGCAAAGCTGATCTCCAGGACCCCCAGGGAGACAGCAGGGAAGAGAGCAGGTAAGGGAAGAGCTGCAGAGTCAGTGTCACCCCCTGAGCAGAGCGACACCGCGCCTGCAGTCACCGTGGGGACTGAGCCCTGAGGCCTGGCCCCTGTGCAGTCACCGTGGGGACTGAGCCCTGAGGCCTGGCCCCTGTGCAGTCACCGTGGGGACTGAGCCCCGAGCCCTGGCCCCTGTGCAGTCACCGTGGGGACTGAGCCCTGAGCCCTGAGCCCTGTGCAGTCACCGTGGGGACTGAGCCCTGGCCCCTGTGCAGTCACCGTGGGGACTGAGCCCTGAGCCCTGGCCCCTGTGCAGTCACCGTGGGGACTGAGCCCTGGCCCCTGTGCAGTCACCGTGGGGACTGAGCCCTGGCCCCTGTGCTCTGGGCTGCAGAGGAGCTCACGGCAGTGTGGCTGTGCAGGCTGCTGGGACACCCCCTGGGCACTGAGTGGACAGAATGCCCCGTGTGTCAGAGCATACCTTGAGCTGGAAGAAGTACTCCTGTGCCTGCTGCTGGCTGAGCCGCAGGGCCCTGGCGATGAGGGCGCGCAGGGCCCGCGCCACGTCCCCGGCCATGCGCACGTCCCCGCACACGTACACGTGGCCCTGGCCCCGCAGCACCTCACACACCACGGCCTCCAGCTGCCTCTGCAGGACATCCTGAACGTAGACCTTAGGAACAGAGAAAGGACCATCAGACGAGGTTCCTTAAGTGCTACTTGGCTCTTCTAAATTCAGGATGGGTCTGTGCTCTAAGGCTCTAAATGCCCCATCTACTCCAGGTCTGTGCTGCACCACAGCAGAGAATAAAAATGTCTTCATCCTGCCTTTACAAGCCCCTGATTTGGAAGCTGGGCCTGTCTCTTGATTAAACTAGAGCAGACTAAGACTCCTGTATCTGGCAAAGTCTCCTAACTTTCCAGGAGAGCTGAAAAGAGGATAGCTCAAGTGCTGTTGTTTTGTTCAATCAAGATTTCTTCTACATAAAATTAATTTCTTGGTCACCGTGTCATTGAAATGGGGACAAATGGCCAGAGCCAATTGATTGTTAACTAACAGACTGATCAAATCTTGCAAAATCTAAGGTTTCTGTGTTCCAGTTTCTAGTTTCAAAGCCTGTTTGCATTGGAAGTGCACTGAGGTGTTATATTTATGTAGCTTGTTTGTGTTGGAGTGCACAGTGAGATTCCCCTTCCTTTGAAGAAGTGAGGCCTTTTGTCACCTGCTCACAATACACCGAAGCAAAATACTAAAATTTTTAAAGAACACTGTTAAACAGAGTCCAGATCTCAGCTTGAGGGGTGACTCTGGAAGGAGCCAACCCTTAAAGAATGAGGGAATCAGCCTTACTTTAGCTTGGCCAGGCAGTCTGGAGTAAGCTGTGTAGATCTCTTTCAGGACTCCCTTCCTCTTCATTTCCTCAGTTTCCTCTCTGTAGAGGTGATCCAGGTCTGGCTGCCGGCAGCCGAACAGCAACGTCATGTCCCCTCCTTTGATCCCTGAGAGCAACAGGGGAAAGGGTTTGTCTGAGGGGCATCACTGACACAGGACTTACAGAGACACAGGGGGGACCTCCAGGTCCCCAAAGCCCTCAGGAGCACCAGGATGGTCTCCAGTGGGATGGATTAGCTGTGCCAGTGCAGTGCCCAATCATGCTGGGGTGCCAAGTCTCTGTGGGGTTCCTTGGCTGGGTCTGGAGGTGTCCCTGGCTGCAGAGCCCTTGTCTGAAGGACTGGGGATGTCCCTGCTGCCAGCTGTGCTGGGCCCCCCACAGCCCCTGCATGTGTCAGTCCCCATGAGTACCTCTCTGCTCCAGGTCATAGAGACGCTGCAGCCAGAAGCTCCGGAAGGGAGCAATCCCTGTTCCCGAGCCGATCAGGAGGCAGGGCTGGGCTGGCTCCTCTGGGAGATGGAATTCATTAGCACTGAAATGTAAAAATACATGCATTAGGTAATGAGTTTCTGATGGACTCTCAGTGGCAGTTTCCTGACTCAGTCTGAGCAGCACAGTCTCCAGTCTGAAGGCAGTGATGGGCTGAACAGGGTGCTGGGTGCTCCTTGTTCCCCCAGCTTTCTGTGCTCTGCAGTGGATGAGCTGACACTGAAGATGGGGTCATATGAATGGAATTATTTCAGAACTTTCTAATGATTCATGATTTTACTCAAAATAAGACATGGTAAAGGATCTCATCTCTGGAAGTCAGGGGATCCCTGTCCCTATTCCTGCTTGTACTCACCAGTCACTTGAAAATATGCAAAGAAAAAAGCCCACTGAAGAAGCTGAACTAAGAACTGCTATTTTTCAGGGGTTTAATCTTGGTTTTTCCCTGCACTCCCTCACTCACCTGCGTATGAAGCACAGAACTGGTTCATCAAGAGCTATTGTATTCAGCCATGTGCTGCAGACTCCATGGTGCAAAGGCCCCTCTCCATCTGAACAGAGCAAGGGAGAACATCTCTGTCAGCACTCAAAAGCTCTCTGTTTTTAAAAAAGCAGTTTATACTTAAAATTATGGTTTTTAAATAAGTGTATGTCTAGCAATGATTTATAAACCAAGGATACACTGATGCAGGATTTTAGCAAATCCTGGCCCAGGATGAACACCTGCACTGCAGTGTACTATTCTGCAAGTATCACAATACACAGTTTTTGTTACAGATATGCTTCATGCCATATAGCAGACACAGGATTTTTCTGAACCACAATGCAGCCTAAAATATCATTTAATTAAGAGAGAAATGCAAACAACACTTCATTACCTCTTGTCCTGTAGTTTACAACTGCAACTGTCAGATGAATCTCTCTGGCTGTCATGTCACAGGAGGAGCTGACAGAATAGTACCTGGGCTTCAGAAATGGCAGCTGAGTCAGCAAGAAGGTTGTGGAGACCTCAGCAGAGGGAAACTCCTCCAGGACCTCCAAGATGTTTGGGCTGTTGTAAAACTTCCATTTATTGTATTCTTCTGTGCTCTAAAAGCCAAAGGGCATCACCACAATGTTACCAGGTCATGCTGAGTTCAGGAGATCGGGGATATTTGAAATGTCCCTTATAAACAAGATTCCTGCTTTACATTCAGTTAAATATGCAGGCAAATCAACAGAGAGTTCTCAAAACTCTTCCAAGACCAATACTGGGGTTTCCTAAGAAATTGTTTGATTTTTGAAAACAGAAGTCCAGGATCCCCACCATAAAGTTCTCAGACACCAGGTCTCTCAGTGAGGATGCAGAAACTGAAGCAGAATCTGTTTCTCAGCTCCCTGTTATGGGACATTCACAAAACTGTGTAAGCCCAGGTCCTGATCCCTACAGAGCTTTGCTGAGCCCAGAGGGAGGAGCCAGCACTTACCACATCTATGAGCCTTTGGTAGTTAAACCCACATCCCTCCTACTCTCACAGTACCAAATTCTCTGACAAAAATCTCTACCATCACGAGGTGAGAGCAGGCAGGCAGTGACCCACCCAGAACCACACAGGAAACACCAGATCTGAACCCTCCTGATTCCCACGCCCAAGCTGAGCCTCCAGACGACCCTTTCTCTCACCATGGTTGGCTTTCCAAGAACACAGAACATGTAACAGAGGCATAAAAATCCAGCACCATCTCTACAAAATATTCTTAAGCTTCTGCTACGCAGTCAAAGGGCATCAGAGGGCCTGGTAGAAAGTACTGCAAAAAGAACTCCAGCCCCAAGGCTTACCTGACACAACACTTCCAGCCTCTGTCTGTCTCCTTCTGCTGTCACCAGCTGGGAGAGTTTCTTTAGCAGTTGTTGGGAGGGTGGAGTAGTGATATCAAGCAAGTACGTCAAAGCCTCAGGGAGTGTGCAGGCTGGAATCTTTCTGTCACTGGTCCAGTAGCCACCTGGAAATGAGGGAAATAAAAGGCCACTTGGCAATGCCCATGGTATTTGACAGCTGCAGAGCTTTGCAAAATTCAGTGTCTTTCAACATATGCCTTCAGGGAGGTGCAGCAGGCCTAGACCACAGGACCCTTCTGAAAGAGGTTAATGGGAGGTTTCACACATTTTGCAATGGGAGGATCTGACACAGAGAACTGCATGACAACAAAACACCACTTGGAAACTACAGATCTTTAATTTGAGGAAACCATCTTTCTGTGTGCCAGAATCCCATGATTGTTCCTCCTAAGATGGGGAAGATGGCCAGGACATGTAAGTCTATTTTAGGATTCTGACATGTAGCAACAATAAGCAAACTGTCGATTAATTTAATTGCAGTCAATGGCTAATTTAGCAACTGAATTACAAACAGTGTCACCTTGGGTCCCTCTGCAAACTCTGGTGAAGTCACCATGGACTGCCAGAGTGTGTAAAATCAGAATCAAGAATTATAAGAATAACTAAAAAGCAGCAACAAAATTCTACTGAAACTTAAGAAACATAGAATCAAATTCTGTCAATAAAAATTCTTAGTTATTTTAAAGAAATTTGTCCAACATCCTCTGTTATTTTGTCTAAAGAAAGCCAACTTACCATCAGTGCAGGTTTCAAGCCTGATGGTCTGATCAGCTGGGGGGGCATCGTGGACACGTGCAATGATGCCATGGACTAGTTCTGGCTGGTTGCCTGGGAAAATCCCGATGTGTTCTCCAGGCAGGTAGTGCACTTCCTGATTAGCCTCACAGGAGAGTTTAACCAGAATGGTAACACGACTGGATAGAGAAGAAGCAGAGATGAGACAGATCTTGGCTACGTTGACGGGATTTCCCTCGAACTGTGCAGAACAGGAATAAATCTGCAGTGGCAGTTGGCAAGGGCTCCTGTATTCATCACCAAATACCAGACCAGCTTAGGGCTTCATGGAGACTTAAACAAACCGGAGTCCAGACATGTGAAGGACTTGTATCCAAACAAACCAGGTGCTGAAGTGCTGCCTGATCTGTCCCCTACACAATAAACATGCCTGGAATCAGCCAGTGGAAGTGTGGCCCCACTGCAGACTGAACAGCTCACATACTTCTACTAAGGACAGTACAAAATTCCTACATATTTCTTAATAACTGCAGGGAGAAGATGTTTATAACCAGGCATTTTAGATGTTTAAGATTTTATTAAAATGTAGTATTGCAATATTCAAAAGAATGAGGTGTCATACCTGGACTTTAAACTTTGAAGATTCTGCCTGAATTTCAGCTTCATGGGAATTATATCCTTGGCATGAATGCTTGCAAGAGCTGGTGAGGAAAGAGGACATGACTCATGGTAACTCTGTGGTTAGGTTTGTTTAAAATGTCTTCAAAGAATATGCAGAGAAGAACCGAACGTGGCTGGCCCTAGAACGTGACCGACCATCAGTCAGCTCTGTGTGCTCTAGTCCCTGACTAAAAGCAGTTCACCTCAGCTTTTGTTCCTCTGGGGATGTTACTGTGCTGGAAAAGATCATTTATGCAGTGTAAACCAGTGTCCTTTTTCCTCTGACCACTACCCCCATCATATGCATTTGACCATCTGGCAGGGCCAGAAGCACTTCTGCCAAACCTTCACAGTTCAGACCCCCTGAAGCAGCAAAGACAGAGGGAGGGGAAGGTGGGAGCAATACCTTTAGCCAGGTCCATGGGCTGAGAGTCATACACTATCCTGTAACTGGTAGGATCCCAGCTTTCCTCAGAGGTGTAGATCTCAGGCAATTGAATACTGTGTCCTCCACGGATGTTAAAAATGTCACAGGCAGCCTAGAAAAAAACCCACAAAAAATGAGGCTATTCACAGTAAAAAAAATAATCTTAGCATTGTCATATCCTAAGGAGGAGCTATCAGCTTCACAGATTGCTATTTCCTACTGCTTCTGTTGAGTTCAGTGATGTTACAGGGCTCCAGTGAGTTCAGTTCCACTTCTATGCCAGTATAGGTAAAAAAAGTTCTACTGCAAAAAATTCTGATGCTACCACCTTGTTCATACCAAAAGGGTATGCAAACCCTTTACCCAAAAGGGTTCATGCAACTTCATGTGAATATTAAAAAATAACAAAAAAGGGACTCAGTTCCCTCTCCAACTTAGGTGAGCAGTAGAGAAGAGGGCAGTTCCAAACTCATGTAGAAATTCAGATGTTTGGTTTCCTTCATTTTCCCTCATTTTTATGGGAAACTAGTGAATACTGAACTAAAATGAATGAATGAACTAAAATATGAGCTATATTTCTAAATTCACCTTGAAAGCACTGACTGCCCAGGTGCGAAAGGCTTCTTCTTGCCCATTGAGTTCATCCCCTTCACCGACTGGAGTGAGCTGGGAAGCCCCGAGCTGGGCCAGTTTTTGGTCAATGGCATGAGCAAAGGCACAGAACTCTGGATACATGCTGGACCCCAAACCAAACACAGCATACCTGCACATGGAAATAAAAACAGGATTGCTGTGTTAAGCTACACGAAATGCAAAAGGACTCAATAACATGCAAACCAAACAACAAAGTATTTTTACCTAATTTTTTTTCTCAGCAGTTTCAGTGTGAACAAGGAGTTCTTCAAGGTCTGCATGAAAATTCATAAAATACTTAAGGTTAGGAAAATACCCTGATTTAAAACAGAAGTGCAACCCTGATTAATATCTTACTCGAGGACATGAGACAAATGAAAGGGTTGTCTTTGGTGTCAGTTTTTGAGCTGAGTCTCATACACACTTCTGAGTGGAACATTACCTTTCCGTTACCTGGAGAATCTCCATTTCCAAAAGTGCTTGTAACCACTAAAAGAAGTGTTTCTTTTTCCAGGTCACAAATATTGTACTCATCCATGCACAGAATCTGGAAGGAATAAAGCTCATGAGACATTGCTAGCAGACGTAAGAGCCTTAGATAGCTCTGGTGTCAGACGTACGCTGACCAAACTGACACGGCATTATGCTAGATGAATACAAAATCAAAGTTCTAGTCCAACTTCTATTTACTGAACATTCAAAACATAGGTTTGGAGAAGCCAAACTTCTTCCTCCATGCAGTGTGGATGCTTTACACTCCTTACCCTGGTGTTGAAGGCACAGTTGAAGAGGCTGCACAGGGTGTTGGCGAGCGTTTCTGATTTCCCCGTCTCTGTTGCAAAGATTACAGTGACCTTGGCCCTGGTGGCCATTGCTTGTCGCATGAGTGAGGATGCAAAGAGTACAGCCCTGGGGAAAGAGAACCATATGTAATAATTGATTCACAAACAAGCTAGGAAACCCTGATCTTGAGCAAGGCTTTTCCTTGGAAGATGGTGCAGAAGCAGCACACTCTAGATAGGCCTGAACAAGAACCTTAGATATGAATGTGTGGACAGGTAAGGCTGTGATTCAAACAACTCAGGTGGTCCCTACTGTAATAATTGATCTTTAAACACCACAAGAATAGAATAGAATAGCTGGACAAAGCATGAGGAGTCTGATTTGAGCAACTTACTTTGCCAGCATGCTAAACTTTATTTCTTTTTTCTTTGGCCTCCGGCTCTCATCACGCCACACATGTGTTTTCCATGCATCCACCTTTAAAAAAAAAGTTAAGCTTTGACAATTTGCACACAAATTTGTGTATCTTTGAATTTGTACACAATTTGTATATCTCTGAAGGGCCAGATCAAATAGAATCTGTATATACAATCCACTGAGTACAAATACAGGATCAGTCTCTGTAGCATTAAACTGCATTTTACTTAAAGCCAGAGAATTCAACACAACTAACATCACCTTTCACATACAAAGCTCCTGTTTGCTGTTTCTGAATCTCTCCAGTGAACTTTAATTACCCAGGCCTTGTCCCCCAGACTCCTTCGGGTCTCATATTGCGTCTGGACTGCTGAGCTCGTCTACCAGATTCGGCTTTTGGTTTTGCTGATGTGTACCTGGTAGTAATAGAAGGGGGTGAGGACATAGTTCAGCATCTCCTGGTGGAACACGGGCGTTATGCTGCCTGAGATGGGAGGCACGATCCACACCCAGTCGGCCGGGCAGCCGCCCCGCGCGCGGTACTCGCTCTGCATGTACTTCAGGAAGGACTCGGAGGCCGAGTGGTGATCCAGGATAGTCACATTCTGCTTCTAGAATAATTGCAAAAAGAAAAGCATACATTAAAAAGCCTATTCTGCTCCTCTACCTGATGTATTTAAAGTAATCCTCTTGCTTTGGTTAATATTTCAAGGACTTTACTCAGTGCTGGGAAATAATTACTATCAGATAATAATTACAGATACAGACTGAGGCACAGGCCTTTGATTATGGACTCTTATATCTTTTCTTTAACATCAGCATTTCCCTCTCCCACACTGGGAGTGCATGCTGTAAAGCCTCTGATTCACTTTTACCCACTTCTCATATTGTCATGATATATTAAATAAACTGGAATTGAAAATAAAATATATTAATCCAATGGCTTTACATAGGTTTTGACACATAGATAAGTGTGTTAAAAGGATGAAAAATCTTGCCCTTAACTCCCTTTTCTTTTTCTCTCCCTTCTGTCTTCACCTGAGAGGAAATATGGATTTCTCTACTTTCCCAGGTGTAAATCAAGAGTAAGTCTTGTAATCTCCACTGAGTACTGGGCTATTGGCACTACCTTTGTATAAAGTTGTTGCAAGTGAGAGGAAAAAGGGACACCCAGTGTTCAGTGTCTCTCCCACACTCATTGACTCACCTGGAAGCTGTGAAGCACAGCCACATTGATCTCTACAACAGCCCGGTCCTTCCATAACGATGACAGTTTGTTTGTTTCCAGTCCCATTCTCCTCCCTACCTCCTATGGGTGAAAAAGGGAGAGAATAGGGAAAAGCAAATTTACTATATGGAACTTTGACCCCATGATTTACTACATCATCACCCTAATATGCAGGAAAAATTAGTCCAGAAGGGGGAAGAATTAGTCTCATGCTGGGAAAGTGATGGCAGCAGAAACACCTGAGATCAAAGGTAAACTTGGATTTTGGAGTTCTGGTTCCTGAGGCTAATCCAGTTTCATAAAGGGAGTGGTTCTCTCCCATCCCCACAAACGCTGGTAGTGTCTCTTATCCAAACCAAGTTCATTCCCCCTGCAGACCAGCCCCCTTCCACCCGAGCAGGTACCTTCAGGATGTTGTAGCGCTGCACGTCACAGAAGTCTCGCACTCCTATCTCTGTGCCCATGTACCAGCCGTTGAAGGGACACGCGGTGAACTCCAGGCCCCCCGCCTCCAGCAGCATGTTGGACACGGCAGGCAGCGCATACCACCTCAGATCCAGGTCCTTGAACCACTCATACCTGCCAGACCACCACTTTGGTTCATTTTGGTTCATTTTGGTATTGCCTTCCTCCTTAAGGCAATAACCACAAAAGCCCAGGAAGACAAAGAGTACCAGTTCCAGGAGGAATGACCCACGGAGCAGGGTCTGCCAAAGCTCACAGCAGTTTTCAGTGCAGTAACTGAGAATTGCCTGCTACAGAAACTGCAGAACCATATTACAGAGTTCTGCAATCTGCAGGCCAGTTCCAAAGCAAACAAGAATTAAAAACCAACGAGAGAAAGGCAACGAACACTTTGTTATGAGTGAAGCTGTATTTTACTTGTGTATTACACTGGCATAAGAAATGATGATTTTTAAAATTCTGAATATGACTGAAATGTAGATGGGGGAAAAAAAGATTTCCAATAAAACTGCTATTGGCTTCCTTAATTTAAAATCTATTTCATTTTTCTAACAGGTATTTTACCTTTCAGGACAATTTACCAACATTTCATCCTGACAAAGAATTCATAAAGTGACTGCAACAGGCACAGCCCAATAACCTGCCAAGGTGAGGCAGAGGCAAAAATGCAATTATCTAAATCTTGCATGCTTACTTTGGATGCTCCATTGGCACTTCAAGGACAATTTCTGGAGGTATTTCAAATATTTCTGGGTCTTGGCCGTTTGCTTGGAGGACAAGTGGAAGTACATCAAAGCGGCCATATTTCGGCTTCCACCCAAGCTCGATGCACAACTGCAAATACAGAAAGTACATTTTGTGTTTCTTTCAGGTTTCCCCCTCCAGATTTAAGACAGAAGAATTTGAACCCCCTAAAACCTGCTGAGGTAAATTGTAAGCGATAAAGGTTATCCTTCCCATTCAAACAATGTTGAGACATTTGTTGAGGTACTGTTTGTGTCCCTGGTCGTGTCCTGACAGGGCAGTATTAGCTCACCCTGTTCTGAGATGGAGGACAGTATTTTACATCAGGACTGTATGAAATTCCTGCTCCAGCCTGCACCTAGAACCTGTGGGACAGAGCATCCCATTCACTGCTCACCTCCCTACCACTCTGCATCAACACACAAGGAACAAACCCAGGAGCTGGGTTAGCCCCGCTGGGAGCAGTGAGGCTGATGGCAGGTACCTGTGTGAACTCTGCATCAACACACAAGGAACAAACCCAGGAGCTGGGTAAGCCCCGCTGGGAGCAGTGAGGCTGATGGCAGGTACCTGTGTGAACTCTGCATCAACACACAAGGAACAAACCCAGGAGCTGGGTTAGCCCCGCTGGGAGCAGTGAGGCTGATGGCAGGTACCTGTGTGAACTCTGCACTGGCAGGGTCTCCCAGCACGGCCCCCCCGGGCAGGCGGTACCCGGCGTAGCGGACCAGCTGGCTGTTCCACACCCGGAAATCGTGGTGCCCGTCCGTCCGCTGCGGGAACACGGTGATGGCTGATCTGCACGAGAGACAGGCACACCCCTCACTCACACCACCACACCAACCACCGCCTCAGTTCTGAGACATATATTGTTACCAACGGAAAATATTTGGTATTTCTAAAATAAACATCAGTAGAAATAAAACCATTCATCCTCTCTACCCACCTCCCCAAATCTCAAATCCTCTGTTTTCCCCAGGAATTGCGAAAGGTTTTGTGACATCAACCATGAAAGTTAAAAATTTCAAAATGGCTGATGGGTCACATGAGAAGAACATATAAAAATACCAGGAGAATTAAAAGCAGAGACGAGTTGTCAAAATATTTAGATAAACCATTCAGGTATTTTTGATGCCAGATCTGGATGTGATTTTTGTAGTTTAAAGTTAAAATTAAAGAGACCTACCTTATATTCCCATTGTTTGTGGCATACTGAATATGACGACAGATATGCTCAAACATTTCCTGTGCTGTTTTACAGTCCCGTGCATCAAACACCTGCATGTTTCCAACAGAAATGTAAAGAACAAAACTTACTTTGAAACAGTAATGAAAGCTTGTTATTTTTCCTGTGCATTTAAGGAAAGGAAAGATTGTAGCTTCATTAGGAAAAGTTCATTTTTATAGTCTTTATATGCATCATTTTCACACACAACAGTCCTCCAAGGACCAAAACATGCACCTGGTTCCATGACACACCTGGCTCCTGTACTCACACTCCCACACGTTCTTATTCAGCTATGAAAGAGAACTACAAAAAATGATCTTATGATATGAATAGTAGGGAGTCCTCCTCAGAGCAATGGCATGTTCTACCAAAGTAAAGGACATTCTTCCAATTCCCAGCAGAGACTATTTGGTCCATAACCTCTGGATCCTTAACTTACCTGTAGATTGGACCACTGGATTCTCCCAATGCACCTGGGTGCATTCCTCCAGGCCTGTTTGGCAGCAAAGGTCAGCTCATCCTTTGTCAGATGGTAGGTTCCTGTAGTTTCTATCTCCCTGGTCACTGTTTCCAGCCGGCCTGGGTATTCTTCCATTTTTGATCTTTTGAACAGGAAACAGCCATGAAAAGAAACAATGAGAATTTCATGACTTAGAACTGATTCAAAGTGCAGACATTCTCTTTATGTTCAGGGTCAAGAACACCCCAGACATTGCTGAAGCCATGAAGCTTGTGAGCATCCTTCTGCACGAGCAGACTTCCACTGGCAGCACTGTTGTTACCTGCCTGAATGCAAGGGAGAGGATTTCCAGGGAGGGCATTGGCATCTGGGTAGGCTGAGATAGGAAAAGTCTGAATAAACACTGAGAAACCTGTTGCTGTTATAAATCTGCACTCGCTGCATGTAGACGTAAATGACTCTACCCTTTATGGAAACCTCCACTGCCTCCCAAAGGCAGCAGTTTCACTGGGCTGCAGGTGCAGAAGGCACTGTCACTGTCCCCCACCTCCCTCCACTGCACCCCACTCCTGTCCCCAGGCACAGCTGTCACTCAGTGCAGCTCTCTGGGGGCTGAGAGTTTGACCAAAAGGCAGAGGGGATTCCAGGTAATGGAATGAGTTAAGTCCACAGGACTCTGACTGAGAACTGCAGAGGAGAATTGTTTCTGGCTTTAGAATTTTAGGACTTCTGTCCTTATGGAGTGTGAATGACAGTTCACTGGCCTCATGAAGAAGCTAACACACTAGAAATTTCAGTAGTGACACCATCCTTTCACCACCCAACACATGCATGAATTTTTCACAGGCTTTTCTGTGAAGGTTTTCAGTTTAAATTTGGATTTTGTAGATTAATTTGAAAAAAAAAATTGTCAAATCACAAGCAAATGAAAACCAGAGAACAGGTGAGCTTTGTGCCAAAGGTAGGATGACAGTGACTGTCCTCTCAAAGTTCCATTACTGTCACAGGGACACAGCTCTTCTGAGCAAAGTAAGTAGGATTTTCATTCCTAAGAGCAAGTGCTGAGCAATTCCTTTGTCAGGGTAACCAACTCTAAAATTCTTTAGCTTGATAACAGAGAGTGAAGTCAAAACATTAGAAAATATCTATCACAGCACAGACAAAAATTGTTTTGTTGGCTTACAGACAGAATGAAAATAGCCTGCACTGTCTGAGAGTTTTCACATTTTCAGCAAGATGAAAGATCAAGGGCAAGCATGTAAGATACTGTAAATCAATGTGATCAAACAGCCATGAGCAGAGACACAGAGATGTGGCAAGTACAGCCTGTGTGTATGACAGGGACTTTCAGAAAGATTCAGAGGGAAGAAAGCTTTGTAGAAGAGTTCAAAGCATCTAAAGAAGTGGCCACTATTTGGGTCAGTCCCTTTGAAAGTTTGATAATGTTTTCTGATGGGATGAGCAAACACTGAATTGTTGCTTGAAAGCTCGTCAGGTGAAACGTCACTGCAAACTCTTGCACCTCAACCAGCTGTTCCAGCATTTCCTGCAACAAGATGCCTCTGCACCAGGACCATTTTTGTGAGAACCTCTTGGCATGCTCACTGAGCTTATGCTGACAGCACAGAGCAAGGCTGAGAACCAAGACTGGCCTTCCAATATTTGGCTAAAGCCTTGAAAGGAACACAGAGAAAAGGTACTTGGAACAGCACAAACAAAACAAATTATCCACATTATTCACATCTCAGACTGATCTGAGTGGAGCTAATCCCAACCCATGCCAAGAAAACAGCAGGTAACACCCTGTAAGAGAGCCCTCAATGCACTGGGATGTAGCACACTTCAAAGGGATAGGGCTGAGCAGTGCATGGTACAGAGTCCATTCCTGTGTTCCCAACCCCCTGCATTGGCACATAGAGCATATGAAGTTCAGGGGTAGTTTTATATAGCTTTTCTAACAGTCCTTATGTAGTTTTTAAATGCATGCTATGCAACAGGAACCTCCTCGAGTCTCACACACAGGTAGGGAGAGGACTTTTTTATATCAAAAATAAAGGTAAATTGGCTTACTCTTTAAATGAACTGTAGTACTGCTTGAGAAAGTCTATTGCCTGAGGCAAAAGCTCTTCCAGTGGAACTGGCCCATCTCTGGTACCTCTCACCTGGCCCTTTGGGGTCATGAGTGACCCTTGGCAGGCTTTGGTCCGGCAGTTGATAACCTGAAAAACAATAAAATGACAAAACCCAATGTTGCACTCTGTATTTTTTCAAAGTGCTGAAAAATTCCTGTTCAGATTTCTGTATTTCACCTCCTTTGCTGTCAGGTGTAGTGTGTCGAGAAAGCTGGATCCATTTTCCAAGTTTCTTATTCTTAAATGTCTTGGACATCTTGATATTTGGTTTGAAACTTTGATATCACTTTGAGGGAAGTTCTGGACAGAGAAAAGATAAAAATGTATACTGTCTTCAGATCTATTAAACATCTTGAAGTTTCATTTTAAAGTTTATTTGACCATTAAAAGGCTACAGATAAATTCAAGAAACTAGATATGTGATCTGCTCCAACATGAATATGTATTTGACTACAAAACTATTGAGCTAATCAACAGTTTGACAGGAAATGGGGGAAAAAAGTATTTTTGTACTAATCAAACAGTATCTGCCACTGCAAACACCTTTATAATTTCAGTAAGGCCTTGCCTCTGAACATAATAGTTGCAGTCTCAGGAAAACAGGGCACCAGGCAATTTTAGAGACAGGACAGGTTTGTTACTAAAGGCTGGGTCTGCAAAGGTGAATAAAGGAATCAGCCACCCCAGTCCCCACAGGCTCACCTCTTCCCTTAGGTCTTACCCAGGCTCCCTTTAGGTCAGAAAAGAACTTTCACCCAAAGATCTCCCAGCAGCCCTAACCTCCTGCAACCACAGTCAGGCCTCACAGAGAACTCTGAGCAGTTTTGAGCAGCAAGCCCCACTCCTGAACTGTTATTATCAAACAAAGATGCTGGAACACACCTCTCCCTCCTGCCCGGCCTTTGCCGAAGTCACGACGGGCAGCACCTTGATCTGCTTCTTGCTCGGATCATACAATTGGGCATCATCCTTTTCTAAGCTTTAAAAGGGAGAAAGAGAATTTAGTATAAAGTGACATGCTTGGGTTTGATTAGTTTTGCCCTCAGCATCAGCAGGGAGATGCTCAGCACTGTCTCTGAAAGTTGTGCTGAGCCCATAAGCCAAGCAGGGAGGGGAGCAGTGGACCAGGAGTCAAAAGTAAAGCCAGAGTGTCACCCTTCCCAGGGCACTGTGTGGGAAGGAAAACAACAGATATGAAACCTGAAATAATTAACAGCCCGAAGACTGAGAAATTTGCATCTGCAACTTATTTTATACAGTGCCTTGTATGAATTGCATCACAGAAATACTTTACCAACTTAATTACAGCATAAATAATCACTTTGCTATTTTTATAGCACACAAATGCCTCCTGATAATACATGAAACCATTATAATACCAAATAAATTTAGAACTATGAAAGATAAAGCAAGATGATTTACATCCTCAATGACTGTATAACTTAAACACAAAAGTTTAATGTCCATTACCAAGTAACACCACCCAGGGACCCCCAGGGACAATATTCTTTTGTTAATATTAGTGTTTTGGAAACACATTACAGGTTTCTCCAGAACCCAAACTACTTAATATCTTCCCTTTTCAAATGAAAAACAAACTATGAAACTATTAAGGACCAGGATCTTACCCACGGATCTTCCTATTTTTCTCCACGTTGTTATTGAAATCCTTCTCTCCAGAGTACTGGCTCTTGGCAGCACGAGATTTGAACACAAACTGCCAGGGGCACAGCATTTTCTATGCTTTACTTGTGGTCTTAGTTCACAGTGCTGAAACCTTGTTCTGTGTGTTATGGGAACACTTCTGAGGACAGAGAAAACCCAGCAAGGTCAGTTTTTACCCAAGAGGGTAACTCCCTTTAACATCACTTAGAAACTCCCCAGACTAACTGATCTGACCTAACTAACATCCTGTTTTTAAATGACAATTGCTTGACACTCAGAGTAGGGATACCTAAACTACCACTGCTTTGTCAGTGTAATGCTGCAGCCATGTATTAATCTAAAATACTGGCAAGAGAATTTCAAATGTCCCCCAGTCGTGTAAAGCAGCAAAAATCGGTGTCTGAGCAGACCAAGCTTAGAAAAGGGATGTGAAATGTTGCTCTGTTATCCACACATCACACAGTAATGAAGAAAGAGAGAAAGAAAGAAAGAGAGAAAGAAAGAAGGAAAGAAAGAAAGAAAAAAAGAAAGAAAGAAGGAAGGAAAGGTTAGAAAAAGAGAAACAGAAAGAGAAAAAAGGAGGAAAAACCCCAAACAAACATAAAAACAATACACAAAGAGAAAAAGGAGGAAAAGGAAAAAAACTTAAGAAAAATAGGAAAAATAATAATAGGGAAAAAAAGAAAAAAGAAGAAAGAGAGCAGACTCACATTTCCCTTCACTGCATCAGAGTAAGAACCTGCTTTGTGTTCTGCATCCCAGGGTTCTGTGGATAACACTGACAGTGTTACCTGTTATATGCACAAACCTTTAAATCAGCAGAAAGGGGGGACAAAGTTTTCAGAGCAGCTAGACAGCTTGGGATAGAGCAGGAGACTGAGTCCAACACTTTGCTCCTAATACAGAAAGAAAGATACAGTTTGTCATATAATTACTTCACCTGTGAGCTGCAGTAAATGAATGACAGAATGAACAACTGGCCACAGTGATTCTTACCGGGCTCTGTGAGGTGCTCCCAACCCTGCCAGGAGAGGCTCTTCTCTGTCAGAGTTTCTTGACTTTAATCTCTCAGGCTCTGTATCCCTCCTGGGAGGCAAAAGCATTTTATACTCCAGACCATGTATGCAAAACAGCTGAGTAAGGCTGGACATGGAGACTGAAAAAAAAGGGGGATTCCCAAGATGTCCTGTATTGGAGAAGTGGAGGGTGTGTGGCTGAGCAGCATTACATAACCTGTGTGAGGAGGGCAGGGCAGCCACCAGCTCCTGATGCTGGAGCATCCCATCCTTCCCCTGCTGCCACAGCCCTCATTCCTGCTCCATGGGAACGGCAGGGGATCACCTCAACACCGTTTGCAACCTTGCACAAGTGTTAAAATTAAAATAAATAAATCCTGAAAGGCTTCTTACAGCTTGAGCACTGTGTGGCCAGTCTCCATGCCTGTACATTACCTACAGCTGCAGGAAGAGAGTGAGCAACTTCAAGAGAAATTTTAGAGCCATAGAACTTTACAGTGTGGGCCAGGAAAGCATTTAATCAGGTGATTGTAACTAAGGACAGGTATTTTACATTTTACAAAACTATACTCCCTCCTTACTTTTGGTCAAGTTTACTCAACAGAATATGTGCAGAATTCCTTGCTCTCCAGAGCTGCCTGTTCTGCCTGTTGCTGCCTGCAAGCTTTGTCCCCTGGTGCTTTTCCAAAGCAGTAGGAATACTAAAAGGAAACTGCAGTCCCTGCAGTGTAAACCATAGCCACTGTGCTGTATGTGGGAATAGCAGCAGGACAGCTGGGTAGGATTGTTGAGCTGATTTTCAATGTTAGATAACACGTACCTATTACAAAGCCAGGCTTCTCCTGCAGTCTGGAAGGCACAAGCCCTCCAGGACCAGGGCTGGCAGCAGTGCCAAGTGCTGCCAGGCACCTGCAGCCCACAAGAGCAGTGCCAGGCCAGTGCACCAGCAGGGATTTTGACTTGCTTTATTTGTTCCTTGGATAATATTATGTATGGCTATTTTAAGGAATCCGTTTACAAACTAAAGATGATAACTGCTGACTAATATGAGGTCAAATGTGGCACAGTGATAACCAGAGAGATTTAGAGGTGCCGACCGACCAAAGGTTTACAGAAATGAGGCCCAAGGCAGAGAGAGAAATGAGGAAACGCACGTTCATTTTTCACCTGGCACACTTGTATTGGACGAGCTCGGGCAAGGTGTTTTCTTCTCCCTGTGTCTAGTTTCTGTGTTTGAAAAGTTCTTGTATAAAGCACTGCTAGAGGCAAAGCAAGTGCTGTGCACACGTGTTCATGCACAAGATCCCCTGTATATAATCCAGGGTTGCTAGACATCAGCCTCTTGAAAAATAGACCTGAGTTTTCTGAGCATTCATCTTCTTGGCTGTATCAAGCCTGTGCTGCTTTGCATCCACTTCTCGTGGATTTTCACAACTGGATTTTTTCTTTAATTTGATGCCTTTTCTCTCATCAGAATTAGCGGCCACATCCCTTTGTTTAAAATACTCCAGACATCTAATCAGCAGCAGAAATGATGTGTGAGCTGTGTCTCAATGTCATGCCATGAAGTTCTGGCTTTACATTCTTCTTTGCATTTGCTATTTTGTCAGAGTTTAAAAATCCTATTTGCATCCTCCCCTTTCTTATTAACCTCACTTTTCTACAGAGCATGGGGAATCTTAATGTCTAGTACAGTAAGAAAGAACATATCTTAGTAGAAATTTAATTGAATTCAACTCTGTCCAATGGCTTCTAAGCCTTTAATATTCACCTTCCTTATTTCCCTGGGCTTGGAGACTGCTGAAATCCAGGAAAGGCTATGTAGGGATTGGATATGAAAAATCAGATTTGGGATAACCAGAGGAGAAGAAACATCTTTCCTTAGGAGAACTGTTTAAAGGATTGGCCAAGGTACAGCCATTCGGGGAACTGCTTAATCACTCCAGTTGCTCAAACAAGATCTGTTTTTTTAATCACTGAAATCAGTAATAAAACTCCCTCTGTACAGTAAGAACAAGAGAGCACCATTCATTTCTCAGGTGGAGTCAGAGATTAACTAAACAAGCTCACTGTGCACTCCTTCTACAAATATTCTACACCGCTTGGAAGGTTTTTCTTTCAGAAAATCAATTCTGCACATATTTTCTATTTTTGCACAGCCACTTCTGCCTCTGCCATATCAGAATGCAAGAACCAGTCGCTTTCCTTGCATTAAACTTTGATGAAAGGGGTGCCCTTTCCAAGCAGACTGTTTGACCTATTCAATGGCATGCTGACCATTTTGTCATTTGGAGTCAAATTTTGTTTTGTTTCTGAATGTGTGATGGTCTGCAGTCTCAATAATCAACTTTCTGCTATTTTCTTCCAACTAAGCTGTATTATGTGTCTGATACTATAATATATATCATATCTGCAAGATTCTGCATTAGCTCAAGCTCTGTTTGTAAGGTTGCTGCCCTAAGCTCAGGACATCTTGAGTCTTCAAAGCAAACCTGACAACAAGGGCTGATTTTCCCAATTTCATGGAACCCTGAAGAGACAATGTTCAACTGTCCCAACTTTTCATAGGTTACCAGTGAATTTTTTCTAACTCTTTTTTCCTAACTAACCTAACTATTGTCAGAATTCTGCATGTGACACCACAATAAGTACAAATAGTGGGGCCTCTGTAAACACTTGGCACATCAGATTTGTTGGGGCTTCCCTTGCCCTTTCCATGCTAAGGGTGAAGTAAGTTCCATTTCCATCTACAAACTGATGGCTCTGCCTTTATGTATTTCCTTTCCTGAGGAAACATACTCTGCTTCCTGCTTTACCACTTGATCACTGGCTGGACAGGAAATTTGGTCCTTAAACCAGCAGCAGCATACAATCATTAAAAAAGCACTGGGAAGGACCCCCTCATGGCACCGGTCCATCTCCCTGCCCCAGCAGCAAGATCAGCTGCAACAAGGTATTCTGGAGCAGCAGAACACAATTACAGGGCAGTGTGAGGAGCAGGACTGGGGCAGAACAGCTCCCTGGTAACCTGGGCTGGGACTGAGGAATCAGAGAACCAGTGGAAGTGGGGCGGGAGCACAAAAGGCATTTACACCCCGAAATGCACTCACCAGTTCTGTGAAATGCTCACTGCTTCTGTCACAAGTGGCCACTTTGTGGTACAAATAACTCATTGGGATGGCATTCACTCACTTTCTGTTCCTTTTCTGGGCTGAAGTGCTGCTTCTCTACTGCCTATGAGGCTTCAGTCACATTTCCCAGCTTGCTGTCACTGAACTGTTGGAGAGACATTTCCCTGGCAACACTTTAGTGTGTATTTACTTTAGTGTGTATTTCATACCGAAAAAGTTTTTGTAAGACAAGTATTGTCTCTTTGTGCTGTCTCCAATGCCTGGCATGACAGGCACTGAGCCACAGGAAAGCCTCTCTGGACTTTTTCAACTCAGAGGTAAATAAATACATAAATAATGGCAATGGTGAGGGTTTGTGGCACAGCCTGGGTGCCAGATCACCCTGGGATCGTACCTGCAAGTCTCAGTTTGCCAGTAACACTGCACTGCTCATCCGAAAATGTCATCTGCAAAAAACACATTTCTAGCCTCCTAATTCCTACACTAAAAATTAAAAGCTCCAGAAATTGCTGAGAAAGCCTGTGATACATGGGCTGTGAGGCATCCAGCAGTTGTGTGATAGGAAATTTTGAAAAGGTATAGGTGACCCACTTCTGTTGGTCTTATTTTTCAGTGCTCGCAAATCTCAAGGAGGTACATTTCAGTCACTGTCCTTAAAGCTCTCCTGAGCATGCTGAAAATGTTCTGTACTAAAGGATGGGGACAGAAACAGTGACAACTGCATATACAAATCACACCTTTAAATGTCTAATGGAGTCATGTAAAGTGAAACTGGTAACTCCTATAAAAATGCAAGACTTCAGTGTTATCAACTTGTTACATTTAATTTAGAACATTAAAAACAAAATAAAAATAATTTTAAGGACACTTTCCTTCCTTATGACATTCCACTCTTAAACATACAAAAGAAATTGGGCTGTGTAAACCAACTCCCAGGGACTGCGTGTCTTAAAATGAAGATTAAGGCAATGATACAAGAGAGCTTCTCACCAATTCTCCCTGCCTTTATTCTCTGGAACCCCCACAGATCCACTGGTTTTACTGGAAGCTTTGTGTGGTTTCTGGCAAAGAAAGATACAATTAGTGATAATAATTACTACTGTCTAAAAAGCTGCTCCCAAATATCTCCTCTCACTGCCTACTGTCAATCTTCTTCTTTTATACTGGTTTGATTTTTCATTTCCCAAAGAACATTCATTTGGTTTGAGTCTTCCCCCAGACTTTGCAAGATGTCAACTCTGTTTTTTTGGGTGTGTTCTGATTGCTTACTATTCCTTTAAGGTTTTATCATATTCACCACGAACTGTAGTCTCTTCTTCACTGGCTTCTTCATTATTTTGAAGTTTTCTTTCATTCAGTGGGGATAAAAACTCTATCAAAAGCAAAATAAAAGGCCCAGGCCTACGTGCTTGAAAATATGCAAATACAAGTAGAATCCCAGTCTGGACTCCTTTTTAGTTTCTGCAGATTGAAGGGGCATTAAAAGCAGCAGTTGAGGGTGGGAAGGGACCCCCCCAGTGAGGGTTGAGGGAACGTTTCATTTGCCACCTCCTGCTCCTCAGTGGAAGGCTGCACGTCAAATGATGGCAGGGCAGGGTGGAAAATTTCCCTATGTTAACATCTGAGGGCAGAAATGAAAGTTAAGGAGAGTGCTAAATTTACAGTGCCGTGCCTGTAAACCCACCCCTTCCTGTCTGCTCAGGGTCAGCCCGGCCAAACTCAGACGTGCAGAAATAACAAAATTCCCTCATCAGTCACCCTTTCCAAAATTCCACTGTGTGCATATCACAACCAGGGGCGAGGAAGTGAGGCAGGGACAAAGGCAGGAGACAGTCAATAGCCAGATTTTGTGTGCCTGGCTGCACATTGGCTCAAGCAGAAGCAATTGCTGACACCTCCTGACTCACTGCTGGGATCCTCAGCCACGGCTGCAGCAGCAAAGGCATCCTTTAGGGAAAGCATGGCCTGAGGAGGGAACTCCAATTTCAGTAACAGAGCACTGGCTGAGGGCAATTTCTAACCAAGGACAGGTAACAGAAGAGATTTGAATACTGGTTTTCAAAAACCCTCAAATTTATGGACTGGCATGTAGAACAGAATATTGAAGTATAAAAGTAACTTCAATTCTGAACATTTAAAACTTCAGTGTGAAAAACACAGAGCACTGCTGAAACAATTCCAGCAAAACTCCCAGGCTTGTCTTTCCTGCTGCCCTCGGAGTCTCTGCTGCTGCCCTGCTGGTCTCTCCCTGCCCCTGACACCTCCTTCACCTGCCCCTGACAACTTCCTTCACCTGCCCCTGACACCTCTTTCACCTGCTCATGTGTTTGCTGCACATTCAAAGTCACACTTGGGCCAGTGCATCTCAGTCTATCCACCACCACTGCAGGTTGACCTGCTTACCATGGTTCCTGGACAGAGACAGGGGTCCTCTCAGGCAATTTTATGGCTCTGCTTTATCTTTATGAGTCTTTTTACTACTTAAATTGATTTTAAGGACTCCTTGCTAAGCACTACAGTTAGGCCAGTCTTGCCTAGGCCTGCACAGCTTTCAGTGTCTGTGTGAATTACATCACATTTCCAAACCTTCTGTGAGAGTGAAATTTCCTTCCTCTGCCCTTTCCATAAGGGAAACAGTGCCAGAGGGTGGGGGTATGAGCTTACAGCTCCTTTTCTAGCAACTCTCTCTCTTCCCCTACCAAAAAAGACAATTCCTGTGGCACATTCTTCAGCATCTTCAGAGTATTTTTAGTCAGTTTTCATTGATTTTGAGCTGCAAGTCCAGCTCAATACTTGCACATCGAAATACAGACATGGAAACACAGACAGCACTAATACACTGAAATACGGACCATTTCCCTGGTCAGTCTCTGTTGAGCATCACAGAACACAACTTTCTGCTACTCTGCTGCCACTTCCAATTCACGGACTGAATATCTGGACTAATTTAGGACATTTTGTCTCCCATCACAAATCTAAATAAAGATATCAATGTGAACATATCCTCTCACTGCATCTCCTATTTTTTTGAATTTGTTTGTTGGTCATCCAATGACTGTGTACCTGGAGGAACACTCACCCTACACTTTCAGTGAGTAGGGGACGAGCAGTCTTTAACATCCAGCTCTCTTCAGGCAGTGCTGCCAGCGTGGTGCTTCCCTGTGTCCTGGTGCTGTGGCTCCTGTCACATACACAGGACATGCTTTTGAAATATGGTCCCACAAACTCTGACTAATCCTCCATCACTGAATAAATCAACTATTTCTTCATTTGGAACTGCCTAGCAAGCAAACCCAACGTGTAGGTGAACCTGAGGCAGCTGCTGGAATAGGGTACCCTGAATAGTGCTGGGATTTATGGAAAATTCCTCAAACATAACTCCAGTAACTGAAACAAATCCCATAAAAAACTGACATCATGCAGAGGTTTATAGGAGAATGAAGGTTGGAAGGGATTCCCAGCATTTCATCCAGTTCAACCTCCTGCCCAAAGCAGGGTCAGCTGTGAGGTGAGGGCTTGATCCAGATTGGTCCTGAGGACTTCCAAGGAAGGAGACTGCACAACAGTCTGTTGTTACTCTACTGCTAGGCTGTCTTCATGGGGATAAAGTTTCTCCTTATACCCAGCCTGGACTTCTCATCTCAACTTCTGCCCACTGCTCCTCATCTTCCCACCAGGCACCACCACAGAGAGCCTGGCTCCATCTCCTCAGTGACCTCCTGAAAGCCACTGGAAGGCTGCAAGAGTCTTCTCCAGGCTGAACGAGCCCTGTTCCTTCAGCCTCTCCTCATGAGGCACAGGCCCTCCACTGAGCTCACTCTTCGTGTACTGGAGATCCAGACTGGACACAACAGTCCACCAGTAAAAGATGCAGATACTCCAGCTGTGCTGCTTTTCCTTCCTCACTCCCTTTGGTTCAGAATTCCAGGCTAGGGACATACTATTTAGCTTGGTTTTCATTCAGTGAGCAAACACTGCTGAGACAACTCTTGACCGCACTGACAGAGAGGATGGGCTCTGAAGCTACATTTGGAAGGGGGGACATCACTTGGGAGTTTGAAAAGTCACTTATTAAAAATACAAAAAAGAGATGTGGAGGAATGTGTGTTGACACAGAGTAAGATCAAATTCTAGAACATGATGAGTGGCTTTATAGAGTGGGTTAAATCACAGGGGTTAATTATAATAAACAGTCCTAGTACACACATCAAAGAATCATTACAGATTAATTAGCAGGTGCTATTATTAGCCATAACAATTTTTGTCTCCATTTCCAAAAGGATAAGATGCAAAATAATTACTTCATGCAGTCTAAATGCTTCATCCAACTCTTGCAGTGAGGTGTATTTGGACCACAGGCACCAAAGCCAGAGGAGCTGGTGCAGACTGTGTACTCCACTTAAGGGACAAAAATAGTAAGCTTTTTGGTCAAAAACATGTTCTTGCCTAACCTTGTTTTTATGATGATTAGTTCTGACTTAGTCACTTGAAACCTGGTAGAAGGGAACATAAAGGGGAATTTTCTGTCTTTACAACACTGTCCACCAGGTTTCAGGAGCTCAAGAGCTCTCTGACCAGCCAAGCTAAAAATCATTACATCATTTCCTTCTTTCTTCTCACGTATGAGCTTTGAAGGCTTAATTGCAATCTGAGAATTCTCTGAAAGAACACACTGTTCCTCCTCCTAGTGGGGTTTTGGGGATCAATAGTTCCTGTACTTCCATAAAGTGTCTAAATCCTCATCCAACATAACATCTTTGATTCCAACTTCCTCCCAGGTTTTTGCTTTTGAAATCCCATTTCTTTTCAATGGAAGAGCAAAGCTGCATGTGAAATGACTGGTACCCTGAAATGACTTCACACTGACAAGAGATAAATCCTCACAGGCTTGATTTGGTAGAATGACCATTGCAGAGAAAATGGGTTCTCAAGTACCTGCTCACACAGTGTCTGACAGCTTTGGATAAGAATGCAAGAAATGATAGTTTGTGCATGGTTTTGGTAGGGTTTTGTAATAAGGTCCTACCCAGTCAGATGATCATTTTGCAAGACACACAGCATCCAATCTCTGATTAACCAGCAGAAGTCAGTGCACCACGGAGAAGGAAGGACCCAGGTCAGTGGTAAATGAGAGCAGTATAAACCACTGATCTGCAAACCATCAACTCATTTTTAAATAGACTGTAGGTTTTAATACTGATAAAGTTGAAAACAAGCAAAAAGGAAGGTGGTTATTCAGCACTGAAAGCAGCAGCAGGACCCTTAATACTTATTTTTCCAAAAGAGTATATGAGCATGGGAAAAGAAAGCAACTAATTAATGGACAAAGAAACTTGAGAATTCTTTCTGCCTTCCCTTCATGTAGCAGTTGTAACAAGGAGTGATGCCTCTGGGCCCAGACTCCAAGCTGACTGTGCTGGCCTTCAGCATCAGACCCACCTCTTGAACTTGTCCATCCAGGCTGCTGCAGATGCTGTTTTGTAAAACTACATAAAGAAAACTGTTTCAATTTTAATTCTGGTAACCATGGTTAAGCACAGGTCATTTCCCTGAGCAATGAAAAATGGTGTAAGATGGTGAATGCCACCGAAGTACAGGGGATTCCTTCCCTTTGATTCCAGTGGCTTTGGCTCAGAACCCTTGAACAGCATGGGAAGGAAACATCCTGGTAAGCAACTATCTAGACTGTCTTTGTTATTACAGGCCAAGACAGAATTTGATAGAGCACAAAGGCAAGATTTGTGTCTCCCAGACAGTCCCTGTGAATTCCAGAGCTCTGTTAAGAGTGTTACAGAGTTCTACAGAGCAAAGCTACATAATTATGAGCTGTGATTTCTTCCCGATACTTACGAAACTGAAAACACTTCCTAAATAGTAAATAAATAAGCCCCTCCCCATATAATGCAACAAAGTGAGCTGATTACAGGTTCAGTACTGTACCCAATCTGTTCCTTTCAAAGCCCCTTTGTTAGATCAAAGGGTTTATGGTTCCGTTCCTCTCTCAACCAGATATGGATTGCATTCAAATTACTTTTTATGCTAAATACCACTCATATTGTGTACATTTTTTGTATAATTACCTCAGCTATAAAACCTGCACCTTTGCTTATGAGAGCAACGAAGTTGGAGTGCAGGGATTGGCTCTTCATCTCAAGTTTCATAATACACACTGGATGCCTTTCACTGTGTTGAATCAATTAGAAACTACCAGACTTGGCACAGTGTGACATCCCACAGCCTCTGTTCTCCCAGCTGGGAGCAGGATTGGAGAGCTCTGTATTTTTAAACCATGCTTCTGAAATAGTTGCAAAATGATCATCCCCTAACTCAGAGCCACCCTGGTGGGGAATACCCCATTCCCTGGTCCCTGCCACCCAGTCCCAAGCTGTCAGAGAGGGGCTCTGTGCACGGAAATCATCTGGCTACAGGACAGTGGGACACACCCCTGGGAGTGGGAGCCGAGGGGCAGGGGAGGAAATGGGGGGTTCAGAGCTCTCGTGGGCTCTTCAGCAGTGCCCAGGGCTGAGCTCCCTGCCAGCTGCTGAGTTCTCTTGCTTTGCCCACAACAGCCCAGCTGTTCATTGCAGCTCCAAGGCTGCACCACCACCCAGACAGGGAACCCAAGACTCCACACCCCCAAACACCCAGGGCAGCACATGACAGAGCAGAACAGAACTGACCTGGTGTTCCTCAGGTTAAACGGCCACACAGTGAAATGTGAAAGATTATCACCAAGTATAATGTTGAAGGTCTCCCAAGTTAAGCACCTAAAAAGCAATCTGAGAATTACTTTTGAAACTTTTGGCCATAAAGCTCCAACATACTCTGTGAGATACTCCCGGCTAAGAGGACAAACTTCACAGAGTTCTTGGGGGAGAGAAAGCTCCAAGGTTCAACTGCATTCTGTACAGTAAAGTGTGATTAAACACACCATTTCTGTGACCTCTAAAAATGGAGAGAAAAACACAAAATAAAAGAGAAAGTAGATCTTGCAGTTGCACAATTGTGGAAAACAAAATACTCTGTTTCTCCTTGTTCCTTGTTCCACACCATCTGAGACATATCTGACTTTCTGTAGATGAAATGACTGCTAAGAAATTGAAGGCAGGCTGGAAAAATCCCAGATCTTGTGTGATTTGACCTAATGCAGAACATGAGTCAACCTCAGCAGCTGCAAGAATGTGTCAATTTTGTATCTTTTAAAATCCATTCTGCAGAAGGGCGGGAAATATTAATCAAAATGCCAGTGCTTTTCAACTTCTCTTAAGAAGGATACCAGAGACCATGAAAAAACCAAGCTGTAATAATAAAAAGACATAAAGTGCAGTGGTTTTTAAACAGATGAAGCTGAACTCTGGCAGAAGGAAGACTACAGGTAATAAGGCCATTCAGTCCAAACTTGTCCAGCTGGAGCTGAAAAAAAATATTTTATATGGGGTAGTGATATAGCCTCAAGCTGTGCCAGGGGAGGTTCAGGTGGGACATCAGGAAGAATTTCTTCATGGAAAGGGTGGTCAGGCATTGGAAGGGGTTGCCCAGGGAGGTGGTGGAGTCCCCATCCCAGGAGGTGTCCAAGGAATGACTGGACATGGCACTCAATGCTCTGGGCTGGGGGACAAGGGGGGTGTTGGTCACAGGTTGGACTTGATGATCTTGGAGGTCTTTTCCAACCTCAGTGATCCTGTGATTCTGTGACATACCCAAACCAAGCTGGCTCGGAAGTTACTAAGTGAAAAACCAAAAATCAAGTTAATCCTTCTCAAAATGGACCCATGCAGAACACAAAGGCAGGTTCTTCTGGGGGAAAAGGTACCCAGGTTGATAGTTACAGGATAGGTAAGTTCACTTCTTGGGCCTCCCAGCTCACAGGCAAGGACAGCAAACAGCAGCCTCAGAACTGTCCTCTTAGACCCTACCAGTGAAGTGAGCAACGCCAGGGGCCTCTCCCTCAGCAACAAATACAAACATTGTTAAGCTCCTAGCTGCAAGTGACAGATGCCTCCCTCTGCTTCTACACTTTTAAAAACTATTTTAAATATCAAAGACAATTATGAGGAAAATACTCTTCAAAGAGCAGGGTTTTTTTAAAAGTTAATGTGTCTGCCCTGCTTAATCACAAGCTGAAAGGACTACTTGATGATTATTGTATACTTCAGTTAACACTATTTCATAAAATCTGGCTTGACAGAATTATAAGATAAATTAATCAAATAATACAAAAGTTGAAAGATGTGCCAGCTGGCCCGAGCTCCAGCAGAAATCCATCAGCTCTGAGCAGCAGGGAAGGCTGCAGGAAAGGCTCTGACCCAGTGGGCACTGTGGGTCCCTGTCCAGCCATTTCTGGGTGTCAGTGACTTGCTTCAGAACACTGCTCTGACCAAGAGACTGTTCACCTCAAACACACCTCTGCTATTTGGGGTGACACTGAGGGACACAATGCAGTGGAGCATAAAGCTCTAAAGACTCCTTCTTACAGTTTAAGGTCAAGGGCTCTCACAAGGAATAAATATTATGATACTGAATGAGACACAGATGTTTTGCTGCCTGTTCAGTTTGCAGCTTATCAGAGCTTTATATGAAGGCACAATTTATAATGCCAAGTTAAAAGCTATTACAAATAAGAAACTGTTTCCTTTAAAAAAGATCAGAGTGAATATTATTTGTTTCTCCCAGAAATAGTGTGTATTCCTGTTCTGTACAGTATCACAGTAAAGATCACTTCCTTATGACATTTGAAAATGAGCCAAACACCGTGGAAGAGAGGTTTTTGTTTAGCATCAAGTCCTGAAGCTCAAGTGTCTCTAAACAAAAAGCCTGTGACATAACGAACCAAGTGAGAAAGAGTTTACAAAGTGCTAAAGAATGATTTAAAGAACATTCAATTACTGACAAATGGTGGTAAGCAAGGCCTGGCCTGGGTTGGAAGAATTCTATTCAGTACCCACAGAGCTCAAATGACTTTCGGTGGCGAGAGTGAATTGAAATCAGTAACACTTCTGACAGAAGAATGTGAGCAGAGGTACATGTGTCTCGAGCCACGTGAAGAGCAGAATGCTATCCTGTATTTTACATAAATCACACATTCACACAATCTTTTCCATACCAAAACCTGAAATGAACAAATAAATAAAAAAAATAAAAAAAAGGGAAAAACTTTCACTAGACAGAAAGTTTCTACATGAGGCTCCAACGCTGGTAATAACCAAAGTAGTCCTTACCATCTGTCTGAGAGCTTAAGAGCAGGAACCAAAACACTAAACAAAACACATTGACCAACCTGCTGCCACTGCTTCATTTTAGGCACATTAGTTCCATATTTGAAATGTACAGATTATTGCCACATAATTTCAGCTTTAGGTTCCCAAGGTCATGTATACACAGAACAGAAAGTGTAGCACCAGCTTTGGTTCTGGCCTTAGACTGGATGTTGATAAGTCTGTAACATGATCTAAATTATTTGTTTCTCCATACTGCAAGAATGTAAAGCATGATTTCACCCTGTTAAACATATCGCCCAACTGTCTTTCCTTGTTCTGATGTTTGTCTTGTATAACAAGCCTCCTGTGAAACTCTCTCTACCTCCTTAACCAAGAGTTGCCTGTACACAACCTTTGAAGACTTAAGTCCACTCAACTCTGAATTGTAGAGTACTCAGGAGAAGTTATTGACTCAAGATCTTACTGTAACCAGCTGCAGAAGTGTTGTTAGCAGAATGTAGTTATTACATTTGTGTAAACACAATGCAAACCCTGGGCTAGGCAGGGGCACGGGATCCTATTCCACACTGAAACCGATGCTGGCATCACTTACTGCAGGAGCAGTCACCAGGGAGGCCACAAAAACGGGGCTTGGACACAAGACACAACCTTCTGACCAGCCCTTAATCATCCAGCTACTGCAATCACCTATCAGCAGGCCATCACTTACCAGAACTCGGGCAGAAATGGGTTCCTCATTTCAGTAAGAGAAACTAAAGCTTCCAAATGGGTTTGTCTCCTTTTACTGACATTATGCCTTGCCTTGTCACCAGCTTAATGAACACCAGGAGCTGTTTTAGCCTCTGCAATAGTAATTTCAGGGCACAACACAGTCTCTTTGATCCGCCAGCTTTATGCTCAGAGATTCTGGATGACTGAAAATGGAACCACAGATGCACCAATGTATTTGGGACTGATGTTTTGATCCCCATTGCCATCAGAGAACCCAGGAGCAGCTGCCTGTGGCCATGTTCTGTCTCCCAGTGGGCCCCACTAGAGCCGCTGGCAGTGATCGCTGGCACTGGGAACAGGGAACATTCCTGAGGCTCAGCAGGGCTGGGTGGCAAAGAGGCAGAAAGCTGCTCAAACAAAGGTGAGGAGAACTCCAGTCACACAGGTCAGTGAGTGGTAAATTTGGCCAAGTCCAGGATTCAATGACTTTGGAGCAGAAGTTTTCTGAATAATAATTTTGGTCGAAAGTATTGAAGCTCTGCCCAAATCTCCTCTCAGAGTTCAGGTTCTCATCTACACCTGGGACATAACATCTTGGGACTCAACTTATGCTGCTGGAGAATGGAATTTGTATAATGTCTTAAAAACACAAAAGCCTCAGCTCTGCAGCTGAATGACTCTTCAGCCCAGTCATTACAGAGACGTGCCTGAGACACGGGCATTACTTTCACTTTCAGGGAAGTAAATAGTTGTTTGCATAATTTCTCCTCACCACCAAGAAAATTATTTGTATATTGAGTAAGTAATCTTCACACTTTCGCTCTATTAAAAGGTTACTATTTTGAAAACCAGATTATATTTGTACAAAAAAACCCCCAACAAAAATCCCTCAGACATATCCTCATGCCCTCCAGCTGAATCACTCCTATCAAAATATTTAGTCATGATGTCTCCTGCTCACCAACCATGTCCCTCCTCTGTGCCCTACCGAAACTGAAAGCTCCACCACTTTCCAAAACCTAAAATTCCCAGATCCTGGTCCTCCCATATCAGTTCTTCTATCATACCTTTGGTCTGATGTTCTCAGCTGGTACCTTGGACATTTGGAGCTGCAGACATGTCCCAGTTGCATCTTCCAGCTCCTTGGTGCTTTCCCTCTTGAACTAGCCATAAATTAAATAACAAGCATGTAAGAGTGATTTAAACACATGCAATTATCCTATTTTGTAACTGAACAAAACATTACGTCTCACACTACCAAAACTCAGGCAATTAAAGCCATAGAGGGTTGCTGAGCACTCTACATTTAAAGTTCAGGAAACTGCCATGTTTCCATACACTGCTAATCCCACTAAGGCTGTAATTTTCACTGTTGCAGTGATACAAAGTTCAGTGCATCTCCAGACCAAACCCACAGCACAGACCTGGGGTCACCTGTGTGCAGTTCTGATCAGAGGCAGCACACTCAGACAGCTACTATCAAAAATGCTGGAGCTTTTTTATCAGTGTTCAGTATCATACTGGATATTCCTTGTTGGTCAAGCTTTCTGTGCCTTGCCAAGGTTGAAGTTTTCTGTGTTCTACCTTGCACCAAATTATTTTGAAAGTTTAAACTAAAATGACTGCACTTTCAAAAAAAGTTACTTAAGAGGCTTTCCTAACATAAACACCTGCTCTGCTGAGAAACTCAGCAGAAACCTTCCTGCTTTACCTGAAATGAAGCAGAAGGCTGGCCCCAGCATAACACCTGAGTATGTTCTGATGCACTTGACAGAAAAGGATTTGAAGAGAAGAAATAAGTGGGGTAGAGAGACAAGATGAGAACAGAATTGAGGACAAGGACAATAACAGTTAAGAGTGTATAAGGTGATGTGAAAGACGTGGGAGCAGAGAGAGGAACAATAGTGGTGATGGCAGAGGGAAGAATAAGAGGACAGGAATTCTTGGAGAGAGGGGTTTAGTGCTAGCAGAGACAAAGGGTTTTTTTGATACAACACAAACGTTCCCTTACAGCCCCAGTTCTGCTATAGCGCTTCTCAGACTCTGCTGGGCTGCCTGAGCCCGCATTTATGTGTTCCCTCCCCGGCTGCCTGAGCCCGCATTTATGTGTTCCCTCCCCGGCTGCCTGAGCCCGCATTTATGTGTTCCCTCCCCGGCTGCCTGAGCCCGCATTTACGTGTTCCCTCCCCGGCCGAAGGCCCGAACCAGCGGCAGATCCGTGCGGACAGAGCGCTCCGGGCGCGCCCGCACCGCCACCCGCCGGCCGAGCGCGGAACTGCAGGCGGAGCGCGGCACTGCGGCGGGACCGGCCCGAGCTCCGCCCCGGGGCACCGGGCTCTCACCCCGCAGAACACACTCGGCAGCGGAGAGAGGCCTTTTGAAACGCACAGGGACTCCCATTTTGAAAGGACATTTATTTTGTGTTGCAAAGAGCCGTGCAGGCCTTTGAGCCGTACAGCATCGCACGGGCAGTGACTGCCCCGAGCACGAACCCGAGGGAGCAGGGGCTGTTCCCGACAGAGCAGGGGCTGTTCCCGACAGAGCAGGGGCTGTTCCCGACAGAGCAGGGGCTGTTCCCGACCCAGCAGGGGCTGTTCCCGACCCAGCAGGGGCTGTTCCTGACCCTTCAGGGGCTGTTCCCGTGGCAGCTCAGAGAGCAGTGACAGCCCCTGACTTTACTGAGACAGCCAGCAGTCCAACAGCCCACAGAGCAGAGGGAAGATGTGGCCATAGCATGGACAGGCAAGTGGAAATTACTGTGGTTCAGCCTTCAGAAGGGGTGAAAGTTCTCGTGGCATGTTCTCCCCTCGGCAGCCCAGGCTTTTGAGCTTGCTGTTGGATCAAACCCAGCCCTGTGCTCTGGTCATACCTGTGCTTCACTGTGAACACACCTCTGGTCCCCAGAGAGGATGATGTGACCTCTCAGAGTGACAGCTGCCATCAGTGTCACACACACACGAGCTGAACTGCTCAGTCACCGAAATCCACAGTGGCTGATGCAGGGGAGCCTCGTCACCAAAGAACCTGCAAAATGTGCCTCACACACTGCCAGGGTTGATCCAGGCCTAACATACAATGGAGGAAGTTACTCAAAGCTTAGACAAGTTTGGGCTTTAACTTAAAATTTGTGATTATACAAGGCAAGAGTTTTAACCTCGACTGTGCCTTTTCATTTACACACTTAAATAGCTTCAGAAATATTAATTTAGCTTCACGACATTCCAGTGAGATATAAATTACTGCATTTGTAGTATCTAAGAGAAAACTTCAGGCAATAATTCTAATACAGCACTGGGCTTGACTGCAAGTCCTCTAAGGATGTTTACCAGTGTCCTTCTTGTCTTCATCCTTCCTCTTCTTCTGTTTTTCGTACTGAAAAAAAAATAACAAACCAAAATTTTTTTGTGGGAAAAAGCACATAACTAAGTAACAGTTCATGCTGACAAAGATTTACAACTCTCTTCATGATCCACATAAATTTACCTTCATCTCCTTTAAGTTAGATTGAAATTTGACAGGTTTTCTCTCTGCAATATAAAATAATGCTCCTTGGCAGGCACTGTGAGTGTGCCCCTCCTCTCACACAGGTCCATTACCAGTTCTCCCCAGAACCAGACTACAGCCTCTGTGGCTGAAGCAGAATGAGCCTATTCTCTTTCTTTCAGAATGAGCCAACAATTCTAATTGCAGGAGAATAAAATCAGATTCAGGTACAGTTATTGACTAGGCTGTTACTGCTGGGATTTGGCTACTGCTATAATTTCATAATCTGTGACTAATCTCTGCTTGCTCCTGTAACAATTCTCATTTGGATTTCATGGACTGGCAGAGAGAAGGACTTAACAGTCACTTGGTAAATTAAAATCAATAGATATTTAGAGGAAGCTGAACTTTTGACTTGTTTCCTATACTCAATGTTAACGTATCACACTCCCCAGCCAGACTCAAATCCCAGGAAGCACAGGTGACTCTCAGCTGTCTAACAGAAACAATCCTCATTCTTTTATCTGACAAGCCAGCCTGAGTGGCATCTTCCAGTGCTGTGACAGCACAGGGGCAGATCCACTGGGTGAGAAGTATGGCACAGGGGAGCCCAGCACCGCAGTTTTGCCCCTGACCTCTGCAGCCACAGGCAAGATCTGAGAAAAAACAACAGTTCTGGAAGTTCATATAAAGTGCCTACGAGGAGTGAATCTGTTAGGAAGGCAGATGCTGCATATCAATTTATGGCTTTCAAAATGCTGTATTTGGGGTTTTTTTCCTCCTATAATAGGGTTATACAAGCCACCATTGCTGAAATTTAATAGAATTCTTCATGGAAACAAAGACTGACACAGGGACCAACTTAAATTGTTATTTGTTCTGAAAAAAACAATCTTTAGTTTATATTGATGAAGAGATTTTTTTAAACAAGAGCTGTCACAATCACAGATCCCTATTGGCCAGGTATTTCCTTTCCAGGTTAACACAAAAATTGCCTGTTCAGAACTCGCTTTCCAACATTTTCTTCTTGTTTTGAACTGGGAGAAACCAAAACACAGACAATCTGAGGCACTTACTTTATTCATCACCCAGTCAGCATCTTCAATGGCTCTTTTAATGATCTGCTGGATTCGCTCAGGGTCATCTTCATCAGCATGAACTTTGAAACTCTGCAACATTCCAAGTGTCACACGGACCAGGCAACACAACAGTTGTCAAAACAAGGATTGCTTTTAAATCTCAGAAAAATATTTGATGCTAAATAAACTGCTGGTCTGGAAAGGTAAAGATACACATTGTAGCACCTGGCCATGCTATTCCATAGCAAATCTGGTCATATGGAATTTCATGTGAAGTATTTTACTCTTTTCATGCATCATCAACAAAAACTGAAATTGTCTGGTAGGTTAAAACTGGAGAGACATGGGACAACAGGTACGATCAAAGGCATGAAATCACTTCCATATGAAGTATGGAATATGGGCAGTCAGATGAGATTTACCCAGCCAGAGGGGAAGGATATATATATATATATATATTAAAAAATGACTGACAAGGAACCAGTAAGTTTGGCCCTAAAAGATGAGTTTATGGAGTAAGGAATGATTGTTCATCCTCTTGACTAACAAAAGAATTAGAGATGAAAGCCAATAAAAATAGAAGGTTTCAGAAGCAAACAAAAAGTGATGGTCCTTCACATACTCCCACTATAACCCTTCAAATCCACTCATGTCTCAAGCTTACAAAAGAATAGTCGGGTTTATTCTTTTCAAGTGCCAGGAGTCCTAAAAAGTTGGTGCAAAGAGTAGGAGGAGGCAAACAGCGGCCCAGCCCGCAGTGACTGACCTGTCGGATGGCGTGGCGGTAGTGCTGGCGGACGCTGCCCTCGGGCAGGCGGCGGCAGCAGCGCAGCAGGTACCGGTACAGCTGCACCGCGCTCCGCACCCGCTCCGCGCTCGGCAGCGGCGGCATCGCCGGGCTGCGGGACAAACACAGCACAGCACCTCAGGGAGGGCATCAAAGACGCGCGGGGACAGCGTAAATAACGGTAAACAGCGAAAACAGGGCCGGGGAATCGAGGATCAGCGGCGTGCCTCGCAGCTTTTGAGGGGGGTTGGTTGTCACTGCCCAAGGGATTAAACACAAGGAGTGGAGCTCGTGCACTCGGACCACTTCTGATGGGAACAGTAACATGTATCCCAGTATTTTACAAACAGACCCCCGTGTAATTTTCTGTAGGCACACAGAGCTGTATGACAGCCCACAGGAAGTTTCCACGATCCTTTGAGTCCTTCAAATGCTTTCCTTGAGCATCCCTAAGAGTTCATCCACATGGTGACTTTCCAGAATGAGAACGCTCATAATTGCTACAAATGGTGCTGGAATTTAACAATATTTCCTATTATTGTCCTTCTGTAAAGAATGTCAAGGCTTCAGCTTGAAATAACATAGATAAGTAAAGGAGAAGACAGGCAAAAAACATTGTCAGGTTTGAAATTTTCCGGTTTTTTGGTAACAGCAACAGGAAAAGAACAAATCTACCAAGTTTCACCTCCATAACTATACTTAAATATTGTAACAATAAGTTCATCCAAGCTCTATAAAGTGCTAATCAAAGACTGTAAATGCCTTGTCATTTAACAGATGGTTGCCATCTGCAGAGAACTAAATTAACATTTGGAAAAAAGCATTTTATATCATTACTTTTAAGAATAAAGATAATAAATAAGCAACTGAATAATGAAGTAGGTGTGTGGCATTATTTTAGTACCTGTTATGATACTTACTCATTATTTGGAACATTTTTTTCCTTTTTCTTAAGTAATTTAAGTTCTTCAGCCAAATTTATTTCGGAGTAGAACACCACAGCTATCACATGCCTGGGCTGTATATTTGCACAGACCAGATCTTGTTGCAGTGGATAAAATCTCCTCATTATGCACCTATAAATACCCATTGCAATGGGATATGTACCACTGTAATCTGTATTCTCAGTAAATGAACTGTGCCTCGAGGAGGTTGCTTTGCTCCTGGCACAGACCCCCAGCAGTCACATCTGGGCACCCCAGCCCAGGGTTTGCCTGGTCCCTGCTGAAGGGCTGCATGAACTCCAGGTTCCATTGATTTTCTGACTCCAAAGTACATCCTGTAAGAGCAGCAGGAGCTGTTGCAGGGGCAGAACTCCTCATGCACTGCACAGGTGAGAGAGCTGTGCCCCCTCAGTGTCACTGTCTGCAGGGACCCCGAGCATCCCCTGGCGGGGCTCTGCCGAGGGCGGCACTGTGGGCACACCCAGAGCTCAGGAAAACCTTCCTGCCCCCAGGAATGTGCAAGGCACAGCAATGACACGTCCCAGGCCGAGGCTGGAGGAGGAGGAGGAGCCCACCGGGTGTGCTGGGAGCAGGGAGGAGGTGACAGGAGCCTGGCTCTGTGCAGACTGACAGAGCACAGGCTGCTTTGGAACACCAGCTCTGCAGGGACCTGCAGAAACACAGGGAATCACGGCCACTGGGTGTTCTGGAAGCCCCTAGGGAAGGCTCTGGTGACACTTCAGAAAAAGCTTTTCCAGCCTCCAAGGGATAAGATGGTTGTCTCAAGGAAGCACTTACAAGAGTGACTGTCTCATGAGCTGATGATGCAAATTAGTAAAACTAATTCTAAGATGCACAATGGGCTTAACAGGCAGAAACTTTTGAAGAATGTATGTCAGAACCCCTTTCCTGCTCACTTGTACTGACATCTTCCCTTACACCTGCAATGGGTTCTGTGCAGTTCATTTGTGCCTTCTCAAAATCCATTTAGCAATACCTTGAATAATCAAAGCCCTTTGCCAAAGTATCCGTGTGCAGCAGCCCCTGAGAGGTGAGTGATGTGCCAGCAAAGCTCCCTCATCCCAAGGAGTCCGTCCCACCTTGCTCTAGGACCTACACCTGACCACCACTCTCTGCACTTGGAGCTTCGTGAGGTGTGTCTGCTTTGGAACACTTGAGATGTTCTACCAGGAAAGTGTGAGAAATGAGGTAAGACTCCACAATGATCCCTCCTGAGAATTATTCACAGCCTAAATATGGTTTCCATTAGCTTTCATGAACAATTAGCAAACCAATCTTCCATCTTGAGGGCAATAAGTTGGCTCTATGCTGCTGCTGCTGCTGCAATCTTCTCATTCTGCTTGTTTGATTCCAGTTCTGTTTTTCCTTATTTGTTTAATAAAAGCCCTTTGGCTTCACACACTACAGGAATTGGATACTGTTCTAAAAAAAGCCCCATATGTAGGACAGAAAGATACTACAAAAATTGAGAAATACAGACCAAGAGCTGACTTTTCAAAATGGCTTCAGTCTGCCTACTTTAATGCTCCCTCACTTTCCAAGCACACAGGATGTGCTAATTGTGGCTTTAGCTAAAAAGTTCAGCTTAGAATACAGATCGAGATACCCCCAGGCTTTAACATGTTCATCTCTTGTTTTCTTCCAATGTTTTTTTCTCTGAAATATAATTTTCTCTCTGCAATGAAACCTATGCTGGGTGTCAGCTCCATGCATTTTTGGTTTGGATTCATTTCACTTTGGCATTCAAGTACAGGAGGTGATTACACACCCAGTAGTCAGCAGAGATCCCTGCATTCCCCTCCAAGCAGCAGAAAGATAAGCAACTCCAAAATGTGACTCATAACACACAGACTGAATTAATCCCTGCCCTTCTCTCCATGAAACACAGAAGGAGCAGCAAAACTAGATTCTGCAGTTACAAGCCTAAATTAGCTAGGATGATTCCAAGTCTGTGTCCTAGTTTGAAAATAGAAATGCAACCATGGAATGGTTTGGGTTGGAAGGGACCTTTAAAGTGGGTATTTGAAAATAATGTAGATTAATAACAATAAGACAAAAATAGACCCATTCCATAATCTGGAGTGTAGAAAAAGTTGGGATCTGGATAGTATATCTCAAATTAAGCTTGCCTAAAAAAAATAAAATATATGAGAAACATCAAAATCCACTCTTTTTTTAAATGAAAAGCATTTATGGAAGGAGAAAATTGCCCCAGTGGTAAGTCCTGCTGCTTGAAATGACAAAGCCACGTGCACATTAGAGACAGGAGGTGAAGAGATCCCTTGTGGAAGCTCAGGGCATTACCATCACCAACCAGGACTTACCAGCATGGAAGGAGAGCTCCAAGTGAGCAGAATCCACAGCCCACCCGTGCACCTGGGGCTGAGTTAAGCCCTCACTCCACTCTGGCAGCTTAAAAGATGCCTCGGGTCCACATTCAACTCTGACCCCAGTGCAAATTAGGACTGGGCATAGGGTTCAACCAGCTACTTGCACAGTGAGTTCCTATGGGAACAGGGTGTTTATCATCCAACACAGAAATCTGGAATATACAGCTGGATTCGAGTTGACCTGAACCTAAATGTGACTTTACACACAGGTTTTTTGGGCTAGATGCTTAGCTGGTAAGAATGGCTATAGTCCCACCGACCCTAAGAACCTGACCCTGCATTTCACACATTCCCACTAAATGCAGTGAAACACCCCAAAATTCAATACAGATCCCAAAATACACTTTGGCACTAGAGCCAATTTGTGGAGTTGTTTCTAGGCTTTGATGTGTAGACTCCTCATATGTCACTGTGCTCTAATTAACCTAAGTGGTCCAATAGATTTCCTGTCACAAATGCAGAGATCCCTCATGTGCTGGGACTGCCCAGGACAGCTTGGCCCAGCAGAAAGAAAAGCAGCTCTGGGAGAGAGCAATGAGCCAGGCACGGAAACATATGAATATGGAAAGACTAAACTGATCAATGGAATTGAAAATGTTGTTTCACTATAGATAACTGGGAATTTTCCACTGCAGTAATTTTTCACAGGAAAATGATGAGCTGTTGAATCCACATCACCTGACAAATACACTTGCAACAATGAATTTTGGGGGGAAAAAAATCCTTCACCTTCCCATAAGTACTGGACTTTCTAACAGATTTGAAGATGGAAATTTTCACCTTGTCTATTATAAAACCTAAACTGCATGAGACTCCCATACTCAAATTGAAAAAAATAAACCCTGAGTTCTGACAGATTCTCAGCTCCAAAAATGCTACAAATGCTGTGAAATGGACAAGCTTCCCGGGGAAGTTTATCACCAAAGATCTATGTTTTGCTGAGAATGTAATTTCACTCCTGGCGATATCATACCACAGCACACAGAAAACTTGATGGCTATTTTGGTAAAATGGCTGTTTTATAAGAAATGATCTCATGACCTGCCCCAGTTCTAGGATACTGGGGCCCTGCATGAGCTCCCCACAACAGAGACTAGACCCTGACAACAGGTAAGGCTCCACTCTGCCCTTGTACATCCCAAAGCACGGAATAATTTGCACAGTTACTGCCGTAATTTGCCCCTTCCTTGACACAATGAAGCACTGTAAAAATCTGTACTGTTGCCTTTTGTTCTAAAAACATCGCCCCTCGAATCCCACAAATGTTACCATTTTTATCTGCCAAGCAAAAACCCTCGACCTCACAAAATCTGGCTATAATCCTGACTAATAATGTAAATCTCCTTCTGATAACTTAAATATCATGCACAGCACAACAAACAAACTATCTAAACCAAGAACTGTTGAGTCAGAAATAAAATAATCCGCTAATTGTGCTTTTCTGGAATGGATGACTGTATAATGTCCTAATCAGAAGGCTGAAATCACATTTGCATTTAGATAAAGCCCTGTTCAAAAAGAGACAAGTATAAAAGGAGACACTGAGACTATTGTGGCATTTCTCTGCATTGCATAATCATTTACATTCCTGATAATGATATTCAGATAGTGAAGCAAAGGCTGACCAAAGCCAATTAATCTTCACTCTGCATTAGCAGCTTGGCAATTGACCCTGTGCACAGCTGAACCTCAGTGATGCAGAGATGCTACCATGCCACTGCTCTCGTTTCATTTCTTTTCTCTGCTATTGTGACTGT